CGTGCACCCATTTTCATGTCAATTTTTCCCAGCATTTCTTTGAGGTTCATAGTTGTGAATTCTCTTGCCTCGTCTAATATATTGTCTCCAGTATATGCCACATGTGAAGCTTCATACAACCTTAACAATCCTGGAACATCCTGGGCCAGGCTTCCCATGAAGTTGCCATTGTGGTCCTGAAAATTCTCGAAAATATCTGAGCACGAGATGAAAGCCAGTTATTTAGGACAAAACATAGGAAAGATTCTTTAAGGAATATTGGGAAACAAATGGACATAAGATTCTTAATCTATGCACTTTGGCTGTTTCCTGAATCCTTCGTTTGTAGTTGAGAAATATATTAAAAAATAAGCATTCACTTTTGCCTTGAGTTTTCCTATACTTTATACATTGATTCTAGTTAGAATAATATTGCCGTCATGATCTTATCAGCCTATATGACATCACAATAACATTAGATGATAGATCCAATTAAATGCAGACTCTTGAAATCATTCAATGTCACATAAATTTGATGATCCTAGCATTACTTTTTTAGTTAAATACTTTCATGTTTTGTATATATATTTGGAACAAAATCTATAAACTCTTTTCATTAATTTAGAAGACAAACTCATGTATGACTGACTACGTACCTGCAGAAATCTCATATCCATGTTGTCTAAGGAGGGAGAAGTAGAGAGCACAAGTATGAATACTATGGTCCATTTTCTTCATAACTTTTCCTGAACGTATAATTCTGCCGAGGGCACATTTTGTACTCTCTCTGAAACGATATCCCATGCCTAGATGTTGAATTTCATCTATTAATTGAAGTGTGTCCAATGGCTCCATACCTTCATCATCAAGCATGTATTTCACTGCCTCCTCCAACTTCCTTATGCTACTCTCCTTTGGAACATTCTTCTGCATGCAACTATTAACACAATCCTCAACAAAAGTTTGATTTTAAATTTTGTTCATTAGTCTTTTATAGAGGTCAGATTTCATGTTTCACTTCTAAATATGTCGCATTTTTTCATTTTATTTCATTTTAAATTAATGGATATTATGCTCAAGTCAAACTCTCGACACCTTTGCGGTTTTCCTTAACATCAAATAAATGTAATGAATTGAAATTTAAACAAGTCGAGTACTTTTTGTTAAGAGCTCCATCTTAAATAATTATAATATAAAAAAAAAATACTACCCTCAAGAAGTAAAGTAAAAAAGTAAAAAAAAATAAAAATAAAATAGAATCCAATACCTGGGGATCATCTCCCATAGACATCATGAACTGATGACTCCAGGAGCTCGGCTTGTAATAGCTAGAGTCTCGTTTAGTAATTGAGTTGTTTGTTTGTTTGTTGGCAACACAACGTATCTGCCACTTTTGTTTGACATTACAAATAACTTCTCTTAAATTGTCTTTGGGAAGGTTTTGAACAAAAGAGGAGTTGAGGGGTAAGAGTTGGACGGTGTTCGCCATCTTTAAATGATGATGCAACAGGGAACACAGTTCTTATTATGTATGCCCACTGTCTTTGGGTAGGAATATATA